TGATAGTAAATGTGTATTTTTTATTCTCTTGCTTAGAAGCTGCCCCGAAATCCCTTTTGTATTAAGGAGATCTAAAAATAAGTAATTAGTTCTTAAGCAAGTTTCAGGAAAACAAAGGTAGCACCTCGAATGGTTTACTATGATTATTTTACTACTTATATCTAATATTTTTTTCTCATAGTCTTTTTCAGTTCATGCCTTTTTATCCAGTATTCATCAGAATACTTTGTCTTATTTTTTCTTCTCTCCCTTAACAATATGAAATACATTCATTTTCTGTTATATGCCTTTACAGTAGACAGACTTGCAGCTACATGAAATATAAGTACAAGAAAGAAGAATAACTAGCCTTTGTGGGCTAGAGATATTAACGAATTTCAAGGGCATTTGCCCACATTCATCCCACTTATGTCACCTGTTAAAACAGGTTAACGGTGTCTAATTAACCGCTGAACATTGTCATCCTGCATGAATTTAGTATCCTGGCTCTTCTTGAAGCTTAGCTATTTTATCTCCATTAAATCTTTTCAATATTCCATTAAATAGGAATAAAATGTTTTAACAAAGAGGATGTCTACATTAATGCTGTCTTTCACCCTTCAGCACTTAACCTCTGAGATATAGCATTTATGGAGAATTGCTTCCTCACTTCAAACCTAGAAAACTGCTTAGTTGTGGGAAGAAAATCTGAACATCTCTGTTGTATACATAAGTGTATAGGAAAGCTGTTTCCATTTTAAACATTTGTCCTACAGTACGTATCTGAAAAAGGAGGGGTTCTATCTAACAATATATGTAATTGTGTTATCCGACATCTCAGGACAAACCATGGCATATCTTTCTCTCTTTTTAATAATTCTGCTGGATTACAGCTAGTCCTCAATTTACAATCACAATTGAATCCAATATTTCTATTGTTAAGTGAGATATTTGTTAAGGAAGTTTTGCCCCATTTTACGATTATTCTTGCCACAGTTATTAAGTGAATCACTGCACTTGTTAAGTGAATCCAGCTTCCCCATTGGCTTTGCTTGTCAGAAGGCCACAAAACATGACCTCGAGACACTGCAACTATTATAAATATGAACCAGTTGCCAAATATCTGAATTTTGAACAGGTGACTATGGGAATGCTGCAATGGTCATAAGTGTGAAAAACAGTCATAAGTCATTTTTTTCAGTGCCGCTGTAACGTTGAATGGTCACTAAATGAACTTTTTAAAATTAAATAGGTATGATATGCACATAAAAACCATTATATCTTGGTTGACTTATAAAAGAGTTTTTGTGGATTGTAATTCATATTAAGATTAATGAAAGGGATGAATAGAGGATATAAGCTTTTGAGTTCTCTGAGACTCTTAGGGAAGGTGTGGGGAGTTAACTCTAGTCTGAGCAGATTGAGAGTTGAACCTTCCTACGTCTGTCTGCTATCAGAACAGATACCAGTTGTGAGGGAACAAATTTACATATATGACATTAGAATCAGAGTACTCCATAATCAGATTTGATAGCTTTTGAATCATAGCTGTGCAAATATTTCATACTTTTTGTACCATTCTCCTACATTTCTCCCTCTCTTGTGTGCATGTGAGAATCACTGCTTTTGCCAAAATGACTCACAGATGACTGTATAAATGGCTTAATTTGTTTGTTAGATAGAATTATTAAGTAAAAGATACTGCATTTGAGATGATGTATACTTTCTGTGATAGTCCTCAACTTACAGCCATTTGTTTAATGATGGTTCAGAGAAATAATGGTGTTGATAACTGTAATTTTGATCTGTCCCCAAAGTTACAAGGTCTTATCATTTCCCTGGTCACACAATTGCAATTTGGGGGCTTGTCAACTGGCACACATTTACAATGGTTCAGCATCCTATAGGCACATTGCATGTGACTTACCACATGACCCTTTTTTTTTTGGTCATAAGGAGAAGTGAATCACGAGGCAGCTGATGCCAGTAAGTTCTACCTTGCCCATTGAGTACTGGGAGAAAGATGAGTATCGGGACAAGATTTTTGCTTCAAAATGTGTTGAGTACCAAATTAAATGAATTTTGAAGCAGTCAAGTACCGTGGCATCACTGTAACTAGAACCTACTACAAAAGGTTTAAATATATAGCTGAATGTTAACATTTTAAATTATTTTCTATTTTTTGATATTTATTTTGGACCTATTTGTACAGGAGTTCAAGCCAATGTATGTAGTGTTCCCTCCTATTTTTCCCTACAACAACCTATGACATTTAACTGGATTGAAAGAGAGTGGCTGACCCAAAGATTCCCTGGAAACTTTGTCTGCTCTTGGCATAATGCCTTAACTACTACACAGCATTAGCTCCCCTCCTTCCACTCTTTTTGAAACAGAAATGAATAATTTATTGGATTTTGCTAAGCATTAGTATTTACCATTTGTTAAATCAAACCTCGAAGGTTTGCTTGCAGTTTCTTCATCACTACTTTCTGGTGTATTGCTGCTAGTTTTATCCTATCTTTATCACTCTATTCTTTTTTGTAGTCACTGTCATCTTCAGATTCCTAGCTGGGTGTATTTGTGTCTTCTGACATCAACAGCACATACTGTAGCACCAGCTCCACTAGTAAGAATCATGGCATAGTAAAACTCTTCCAGTATGCAAAACTGAAATGTCTCTTAGTCTAGTTTCTAGTCTCCAAATTATTTGAACCAAAACAAAAAGTTTGCACTGTTTGTGTAATTGAAAATGAAGGCTGCTTTTTTAAAAATGAGAATGAGACAATTTCCAGAGTCTTAAAGAAACAGGCATTATCTTTTAAATTTTCAGTGATATCTTTTTTGTAAAAGCAGAACATGTGGTAGAGTACAGCCTTATTATGTACCTTGTCATGCTGTGCTCTTTGCTCCAGGGAGTGGGAAAAGAGTATTTCCCAATGTGCAGAGTTAAAAAACTTCATCTTGTGAAACAGTCAAAGCAATCAGCAAGTGATGGAGTATCTGTTAAAAAGAAACCTGACATTTAATTAACTTTTCAAAGTGCTGGTTCAGCAACCTCTATGTTCTACATTTTGAATATTGAACAAGGACTCCTAATCGGATCTGAATTAGTTCTGGGCTTGCTGGGGTGGTGAAGAGCAAGTGAGTTGTCTGCAATCTTCTGCCCCATTGTCACAATATTATTAAATAATAACAATAATACTATGCATTTAATATTCATTTAATAACATTTAAATATTATTAAAAACTGATAGTAACCAGATTTTGCCTGATCTTCAGGGCATCTAAAATGAGTACTTCCGGGATTATAAGAGATAGCTGGGTTTAATAATAATCGTTTATAGTTCAAAGTAGCAGGGCAAAGGTATCATAATCTTCCTCTGAGAGTTAAAAAAGCTTTATTCTTACATTGCTTTAATTTTGAAAAATATTCAGAGGCTGCATTTCACATAATCGTGTTAAAAAATATCTCCCCAGGACCTATTTTTGTCTCATGATTCAGTGTATTCAATTCAACCTTGAGAGCAATTTCAGATGTTACAAAAGAGTAGTAATAGTGATATTATGAATAATTTCTGTGTCTTCACTTGATTCTTGTATAAAATGAACTATGAGAATGTTTGCATCTCTTCATAAAGCTGTGTATGAATGTAGATCATATGAATGCAGATTCTTATAGATAGCAATAGATATTAAAATTATATTTGTTTATTATTTATTAAATTTATGTGCTGCCCATATAATTGATACAGTACATCTAAAAAAAAAGAGTAAACCAAAACTGCAGCTGCTTTGAGATAAGTACAAATATTCTCTTGAAGACTGGATTCTGTTTGCTTTTTAATGTTTAGTGACATAGAATAAAATAGACAGTGATGATACAATCAGAGTACTTTTTAAAAAGTTCACCCCATCTAAATAGCCTGCAGTATTAGGTCAGGACTTTCTTAATATCTTCTTTTCGGACTGGAGTCAAGGAATAAAGTTGGGTTTATCTGCCCATGGTTACTTAACCCCAAATAGGAGCGACTAAGAACAAAGCCATAGTCAACAGTAAATCAAAGGAAATGTAGTGAATTTGGACAGCCAGCTCAGATCAGTAAAGCTAGTTGCAGTAGAGTTTGTGTTATAATTTAATTTGTGGACTCTTCTCCAGGCTGTGTCTTTGGATATATGCTCTTCTATAAGATTCTGGGTTGGAAGGAATAACTGACAGGGATGAGGTTCTCCATAAAGCAATTATTCATTCTTCTTTCCTTTCCTCTTATTTTTTCCCTCAGATCTATCTAGTCTTTTACATTGTTAAATACAATAAAGATCTAAAATTCTTAATGAGCCAGTGGTGCGCATTCTAGCAAAGGTATCTAACTTTTAGAGATATGAAGGAAGGGAATTTTCTAATTATTCCTCTTTTGATAAATCAGTGACAAAGAAGATTTCTCTGGGGTAAAGTATCTGGTAGCAGCACACTTAATCCCCAGGCATTAAAGAGAGAGTACAGGAGGTTGCAGGAGGAAAGTTGGAAGAACCCTTGTGGGAATCAGTGGAGACCAAGCCACCATATACCATGTTGATCACATCCTACTTGCAAGTTTCCATTCAGCCAAACAATCTTAGAATTAAAACCAGGTTTATTAAACTGTTGCCTTCCTCAGCACTAGAGTGATATGTGGCATATGATATATGTTTTATCATTTAACTTGTTTCTTTGTTACATTTATATCCTCGTGAGCTTAAGACTGTGTTCAGTTTTCCCACACAATGGCAATTCTGTGAAGTAGAGTGACTAGCTCAATGCTAAAAAAGAAGCTGAAAGAAAAAAGAACTGATCTGTCTTCTTTGCTATATCCTCAATAAATCAAAGATGATCTTTTTATTTGAAAGATGAATAATTAGGAGAAAATGTAGATTTCCTTTCAGATAAATGCATTGAATCAATATGTACTTCTGAAATAACACTGAAAAGTTATTGTGAGTTTTGTTTTTTCCATTGTTCAGTGTAGGCCTTTGTTGTCTTTTAGGTCAAAAAAGAAACCTGCAGAACAAGAAGTTGAAGAGTAAGTGACTTCCTCATTGTCTACTATGTTTCTACCTAAATGTTAAGAAAAACTTTCATTTTCATCATTTTATGTTTGTGGTTACTGTCCCTGTATATATTTTTGTAGATTTTGGTCATATGTATTGAACTGGTTATAAGATGTTATGGCTATGCAGTGATCTAAATTTAAAGGGGAAAAGGTGATTCATAGCACATATGGATGCACCTGCATATTCATCTTTTGATCAAAGATAACTACAATACAATACAATAGAATTGGAAGGGATCTTGGAGGTCTTCCAGTCCAACCCCCTGCCTAGGCAGGAAACCCTATACCATTACAGACAAATGACTATCCAACATGTTCTTAAGTGTTGGGGCATTCACAACTTCTGGAGGCAAGCTGTTACACTGATTAATTGTTCTAACTGACAGGAAATTTTTCCTCAGTTCTAAGTTGCTTCTCTCCTTGATTAGTTTCCACCCATTGCTTCTTGTTCTACCCTCAGGTGCCTTTGAGAATAGTTTGACTCCCTCTTCTTTGTGGCAACCCCTGAGATATTGGAACACTGCTATCATGTCTTCCCTAGTCCTTCTTTCTATTAAATTAGACATACCCAGTTCCTGGGTATATATAACTGCCTGAGTTCATACAGTATA